AGTAGAGTTGTGACCCTTGGAGACCATTATTCGTTCTTCCTTCAATGTGTCTTTGATGTTTTTAAGTTTTTATATTGAACTTTAAGAATAGGAAAATGCAATTCAACTTGTGATTAGGTTTTAGTCCCCTCCAAGAGAACAGAAAGTAAACTTAAAATAGGCAGAGAATTCAGGACCCTGTGATTTCATTTTAGTAGAAACAAAGTCAAGTATTGTGTGTATCCTAAAATTCACGTTTCAAAGACTGTCACTGCTGACAGATCTGTCTCTTGATGTTCATTTTGATAACTTCAGAATTCGAAAGTAGGGAGATGTGGTCAGTAGAGATGCTTGACAATCTCTCTTCTTCTCAGCTCAGCATTTCCCCATGTTCCTACTTTTAGACCAAGATCTAGATATGATTTCTGGCTACTTTTTTCTGCAAAGCAAAGAGATTTGCATATCACAAGCAAGAAGAACATAGCAGAATCTATTTGGCAGAGGGAAAGGTGGCATTTGAACTCATGTTTCTTTATGCTTTGAACTGAGTTGCCAGAGGGAAAGTGTTATTTTTAGAAGCAACAGCAAGAAGAGCCAATAGAACTTACCCACCAAGCCCTGGTCTTCTCCATGACTGCAAAGCCAATTTCTCTGGCGTGGTACTTCACAGTGTAGCCCCAAGAAAGGACTGGCCAAGGAAGACTCTTCAGTATAAATGTCCTTGAGGAATATTTAAGACTCTCCCTCTAAAGCTGGAGATGGCTTAATGAATCAAAATGGGTACTGCTCTTGCCAGGGACCATAGTTTGGTTTCCAGTACTCTTATTGGGAAGCTCACAATCACCCTTAACTCCAGCTCCAGGTGATCTGACATCCTCTTTTTGCCTCCACTCCTGTGTACTTGCAAATATGCACCCATGTACTCCACACCCACACCCACATCCACCACGTCTTAAGAAATAATAAAATCTGGAAGCAAAAAAAAAAAAAATCTGCGTCTGGATCATCCAGATATCTTCTAGCTGTGATCCTAATTGTGACGTTTACAGATTCAATGCTCTCTTCTGGCAGTCAAATCCTAACACGTTATATAAGAGAAAGTCCCCCAAATATGGTCATGGGCTTGTGTGAAATAAAATTAAACTCCTCCTCAATATAAAAGTTCTTTTTTTCTGTCTGTTTGAATTCCCTGCCTTTTTATTTTAGCTTCCAACTATTATCAAACCTTCCTCTAAAAACAGCAGTAGAAATTAATTTGCTCTTATGTAAAAATAACTGGTGGTGGCTGAAAGTGTTTCTTATTCCAGGGAAATTTTCATATGAATAAAGCCGCAGATAAAATGTTTGTAGAACCATGCTATTTGATGACAGGCTGTTCTTTTTTATTGATTGAGAATTTCATACATGTATACAATGTTTGACCAAGGCCTCCCCGCACTGTATTCTCTCCAGCTCTTTCTCTGTCCCCACCACCACTCTGCCCTCCCAACTCCATGGGTTATTTTCTTTCTTTTAAACCCACAGAGTCCACTTGGTCCTCCAGTATGTACATGGCTTACTGAGAAAATAAGAGGAAGACTTCTCGTAAATCAAAGGTTAAGATTTAAGAGACTGATCTGGCAAACACAGATGAACCATTTTTCTTTTAGTCCCCTTTTCAAGTGAACGTCCATATTTATATAATGGGTATACAGCTTTGTGCATACATACTTATACATGTGCATGCATGTGTGTGGAGGCCAAAGACTTCAACCTCTGCCAAGACATCCAGGATGTTATTTTACTTTAAGAGAGAGTCTAGTATTTCCAAGCTAAGTTCAGATGGTTTATTATCTAAAGAGACATGTCCCCAAGATTTCATGCAGAAAGAAAGCAGAATTTTATGTAGTCTAAACAGAGTCTTCTAGAGAGTTCTATGATATAGTGAGATGATTAGGTAAGTAAGGTCACTGTACAATTACAAATGAGGAGAACCTCGACGAGAAGATTAAACCTTGAACCCAGGGAAGAGCAATCAGATGGTACGGGAAGAGCAATCAGATGGTACAAGAAGAGCAAGCTTCTTGTTGTGGTCTTCTCTTTCTGAATAATTGGCCCTTATAGCATCAGTGACAGAGTCAGTAGGTGCCAAAGGTAAATTAACACAGCCGACACTTTCCCCTATGCCTGGATTCCATACCCTGAAGTATATCTCTGTTTCAAATCAAGTCTTTTTATATGCATGGCAGACCTAACTTCTTACTATTGAACTGGAGACAGAAAGGTAAACCGAACCAAACCCAGATGGTTTTAGCCCTATATTCTTATACTTTGATATGGTTTGATTTCTTTGGATTTTTTTTAGAATAACTTTTACTTATAGGTCACATAGATATGTTGGCATTGTCTGACTTAGCTTGAACTTAGAGATGTTTTTCAATTAAACAGTTCAATGCTTCATGAATGTTATTCCGGGACATCATCACTACTCTGGTTTTCTTGTATGTCAGAACAATGCTGTGACATACAATGGAATTAGAGATGGTTTTATCATGTAGAAGTTATAAAAACACAGCTGAGCTGAACAGGTCTTGACTTTGACATTGCTTTTTGATAATTGTTGTTTTTTTCACTTTTACAAGTAATTTTCTACCTTGATGCAGTGGTGATGCCTATTATCCCAAAACTCTGGAGAATAAGACAGGAAAATCATTAGTGCAAAGTCAGTCTAGGTTATATGGAACTCAAGGTCAACTTAGGCTACTCAGGGTTTCAGGCTAACCTGAACTACACAACTCAACAAACCAAGATCCAAGGACACAGATCAGTGGTAGAATGCCTGCCTAACATGAGCCAATCGTTGGTCTGACTCACAACATCATATGAACATCAATAATAATGTTAATTTCCTATATACACATTATGTACGTAATCTATATCCACCTTCCCCTAGAGAATAAAACTAGCTTTTGAAAATCTATTTCAGAGCCAAGCATGATGGCACACACCTTTAATCCTAGCACTAGGGAGGCAGAAGCAGGGGGATCTTTGTAGTCTAGGACACCCTGATCTACAAAACAAGTTCCAGGACAGTCAGGGCTACACAGAAACCCTGTCTCACAAAGAAAAGAAGGAACAGGAGGAAGGAAGAGAAGGAGGAAGAGGGAGAAGAAGAAGAAGAAGAAGAAGAAGAAGAAGAAGAAGAAGAAGAAG